CATTGCCATAACTTCATCACACTTTGCTGTAAAAAGCAATAACACAAAAGAAGAAATGATTCTTACACAGTTAACAATATCATTCCATGTAGCTAGGTTAATATTGATAATAACAAATGTTTCTCCACTCTCATTGGTACAGAGTTGACCACATGTCCACCACAGTGCTGGGCTGCCCAACTATTGCTTGAGAGAGAAAAAGAAAGTACTGTGTGCTTTTCGTCTATCGATATGCCCTATGTGGATTACCTGTGGTATTACGTAACCATCCCGTTCCTTTTTTGCCCTGCGAGGCACATGATGGTGATGTAATACCACTGGTAAAACACATAGCGCTCGTCGATAGATAAAAGCGCACACAGTTTGGCACTTACAATCCCCATGGTTTGAATGAACGCTTTGTTTTCAGATAAGTTGTTTATCCTTTACTCCCTTTTTTAGCACCTTTATAATTTGTACTTTTGTATAACACTTCCTTTGCTTTTTTTGTTTATTTCACGTTACCATGGCTACTTTGCTCCTATTGGTCTATTTTCTTTCTTACTATTACTATATAAACTCACCCTTTACCTAGTCTCATCACTTTTACTCCGACAAAGGATTAACGTCCGAAACATCAGTAAGTTACTTCTCCTACTTTTTTATGGTGTTTAATTTATCTTTTTTCACACAGTTTGTCCTTTTTTCTATCAAGCAATAGTTGGGCAGCCCTRTATGGCACTATCTGCAATATTATAGTACTTTTTGTTTTGTTTTTTCGAAAAAAGGTAAAAAATATAGAATGTTGATATGGCCAAAATGTTTTAACAAAGCAAATGGCTGAAACACAAAAGTTTCAATTAATATTACCAAAAAGCAAAAAATTCTATCAATACCATTTATCTTTAATGTCGCACATTCATCTTTTGGAGTCCACTGAAATGATAAAAACATAAATACACCTCTATTTAGAAAAATTATAATTTATATTTACAATTTATTATAATATCATGACTATTTTATCTCATTTAACTTACTTGAAGATTGACGATATAAAGCTTMGGTCGCTTGTGTTTAACTCTATTCATTCCCCACA